GGACATTTTCCAAAGCACACACATCATAGTGGTTTTCTTAATGGAGGGCTATTAACAGTCTGCTTCTTCACTCCTGGACAAATGGCTTCCTCAGACTAAAAGAGGGAGTCAGCAGTGACTAGTCAAATATGATAATCTGCTACATGCAAGTAAGCAAAAACTTATTTATACAGGAACTTTCTGCACGGAATTTAAAATGTGCTTCACAGCAAGAAAAGTCAAAAGAGGGAGATATGAAAGAGGAGACAGTGAAGAGAGTAAGAATAGAAATAAGCAGAATAAAGTGCACAAACCATAAAATACATGTAAATAAATGTGTACACTTTAAAAAGTTATTCCCAAGAAATGTGCTATTTTACTTTTTTTTATTTCTTAAATAACAGGAAATTCTATTTAAAAATACAAAAAGTACACATCCTATTGCTGAATGATTGTATCTGTATTTACACAATAAACTCTGTAGAATAAGTAGAATAACTCACTAAACTGTAATTTGATGGTAATTTCAAAGTTCTTTTCACAGTATATAATAATATTTTATAATAATAAAAATGATATTAGTTTTTGAATCCTTAAGCGTTGACCTACCCTGACCTGCTCAATTCAAAGTTACAGACCAACTTGGAAACTTCTCTATCTTCCTCCAGGACACAAACTTCCACACAAGGTCACATCGTTTGACTGTATCTCAGATGAAGATTGATTTGTGCTTGTTGTCGACACTTGAGCCTGATTTGCTTCACTTTGTGTCTGCTATGGACTTTTTTCATGCATATTTTAAGCTTGCTTCACCCAGCAGGCACTTTCACACAGACTCTAAAAAAGTGTTGTTCCATCTCTCTCTCTCTCGGCCTCTGTGAGCTTATCGACAGCTTTGTTGTTATATCAGGTTTGAAGTTAAATTTCTGGATATAAGACAGGTTCTTTGTGTCAGTGGATTCTTTTTAGTTTGAGCGTTTGAGATGCTTTAGGTTGACTTTTCTTTTCTTTCAACTCTCTTGAGTTATCACAAATGTTCATTCTTTAAGCTTTTTTTTTTCTGTCACCGTGTTTCTCCTTTCCTCCAGCTTTAACTCTGCTTCTTATTTCTATCGTTTGTCTCTTTGTATTTCTCTCCTCCCCTCTTTGTTTTTCTCAATTTCACGTGTCGTCTCCTGCTCACGCTCCCTTTACTCATTCCTACTCTGCCTTTCTCTGCTTTAAATGCTGAGAAGTAAGAAATGCAGTTTTGTGAAGCACTCAGCGGAAAAAAATATGTCACTGCTTTGACAAATGTTTAAAATCCAAACTTTGCTTTATTGCGCTGAAGCAAATAATTGATGAAAAGTGCCTTTTTGCATCCACAAAGATCCGTTCACACAGTTTCTTGTGGTATGAGAATACCACAGTGCGATGCTGCACACCCTGGTGCACACACCCATTACTGACACCTGTAGCCACATGATGGGAGAAGAGCACTGCTCGCTGAACATGTTGTTTTGTTATCAATCGGAATACAGAGAGTGGTTCGCTCAAAAACAGAAAAACCTCTGAAAGCTTATAAAAGTGGTCTCCTGTAAACATCAGTGCTGCAGTTACAGGTTGTTAATCTATGACACCAGATGTTTCTGTCTGAGCTTCAGGGAGAGTGCACATGTTCAGGCTCACACCACTTTACGTGAAGGGTAGTTCATTATACTGCAGCTTTGCCTCGTAGTCTTGGCTGTTTCTAGTATCAAGCTGTTCAGTGCAGTGAAACTTCTGAGATCTGGTAAAGTGGGAATGTCCACACAAAGTTCAATGGGGCAAAACCGTAGACTGTATATATGTCTTAGTCCGAAAATGTAGCTTAATTACTCTGGATACAGATGCTGCCTTCTTGGGCTTTTGACATCATTCAGATCCAGAGTCAGTAGTGATGGAGGTGTGGAGCTGCGATGTCCTGCTGACACACAGGCTCGACCGATCTCCAGTCAGTCTCTCTTATTACTTCTAAGTAATGAACATTAGCATATTCAGGGAATTATATAAGTGAGCTTGTTGGAAGGTTACATACTAACTGTACCAAGAGCTGCAACGAACTATGGTTCCATAATCTAGAATTGACAGATGTTTGAAAGATGGATTTATTTAACCAGTTTATTTTGTAAGTTTATTCTCTCTCTTCGTTGGATCCCCCTCAGTGTGCAGCCTATGTTGTAATACTATAGCTACTGTAGTTGAACATATGGAACATCACATGCAAGTGAATAAAAGATTATCTTCATGGTTTAATCCAGTTTTCTGTAGCCTGACAGAGGATTTTGGTGGATGGATAAGAAGTGTTATGAACGTGCGTATGTCTGTCTGTGTGTGTGTGTGTGTGTGTGTGTGTGTATGTTTGTGTGTGTGTGTGTGTGTGTGTGCATTGGTAGTATAGAGCTGTGATGATGAGGATGATGCATCCTATCCCCATTAGTGTTAGCCCAGATCTGTCAGAGCCTTGTTGGGTTACTGCCTGGCAAAATCTCAACCCTGAGGAACAATGGGATGGGCCAAACACACACACACACAAACACACACACACACACTTGTGCTTATGTTCCCAAGACGAAACACTGTTTTTCTTTCTGATACACTCACACACACACCCAGCAGTGCCTGGAAATTCTCCTCAAACACACTGTCAGTTTAACATTCAAGCCCAAACACACATCATAACACTTTCATCCTCTACCGCTGTGGAGCAGTTTGATTTGTCGTCATCACTTTATTCTCACTTAGCTTTGATCGACAACATAGTTCACAGATTGAAGCTGATTCTTCAGTTGACCCCTGTCTCACTTTTGTCTGGTCGGCGGACAAGTGTTCAGCTCACCACCTGGTTTCTCTTCATTGCTGTAGCAGTGTTTGTCACGATGGAGATCAGACGACCACGGCGTGGTGTGTGACCCATAAATCAGATCAGAGGTGTTGGTAACATTCATTATTCAACCAACAACTTTAATGTACAAGTCTTTATTTCTGATCACTTGATACCAGCTCTTAAATAAGTTGTTTTATTACCTGTTTTGCAGAAACAGTCCTTGCAGCACTTTTTCTTCTGCTGCAGCTAAATTCAAGGCTGCCCTACTTCTCCTTGTGCCGTGGAGTCGCAGCTTTGACAAGAGATAACATTTTCCCTCTGTGCGCTCCTCCTATATTGACTTTTAACGTTGCTTCTAATTATTATCTCTGTTATTAATTTGCCGTGACACATGACCTCCTTCCACCCACCCACCCACGCATCCAACCAGCCAACCAGTTCGCTTCAAGCCCCGAAGCCACATTTTAGTCTCCAAGCGCCAAACTGCAGGGAGGAGAGCTGCAGAGGCGACAGTATACATACGACTCGCAGCAGAGATTTCTTTTTTTCTTTGTTTTTGTCTGTCTTTATATCCGTCATACATTCACTGTTTCAACCTTTTCCTCTCGCCTCGTTCTGCCCTCCTCCTCCTCGGTTCCAGGAGTTCAGCACTGTTATCAACTGTCACTTCCTGTCCTTATTCTGTGCTTAGCATTTCACATATTATACCTATTTGCTCAATGATGGGTGTTGATAAAGTGGATCGCCATTATGCCCGCTCTTGGGGTTTGGCTTTTTGATCTGCCTCCGTTTCTGATGGAGTGATGGTGGTGATGATAATAGTCCAGAAATGGTTGCCCTTGGTTTCTTATGTGTTTTCTGCATAACCTTGCTTTCTCTCGTTTTTCAGGACTTGAGTCTTTTCAGAGAGAGAAAAAGCACAAGGCTCCCAGGGGACTTTTATTAAAAGCACATATTGATACAGGATAAAATGTCTTACAAAAAACTGTCACTCATGTTTGTGTGACTTCACTGAAAACTGATTTAAAACTTACAAATACAGAAGCAGTGTTCAAAATAAATGATGAATAAATCTTATATCTGCTCCATTACATTATCCCTGACTTTTGACCATGCAGTATTTGCTAAGTTTTCTTTCCTCTTTTACACATTTTGCATCAAATATAATCTCAGAAGATAAAGAGAGTTTTTAGTTTTAAATTGAACAAAGGAAAGGATACAGACGGGTAAAAATCAACAAAGCATGGCAGAGGACACAGACCACCCCCCCCAGTCACCACTTCACATCACTGCCATGGGTGACGGAGGTACCAAACTCTCACATGTAGAGGAGCCGGCTTCAGCAGGAGCTTTGTCCCTTCTGCCTTCACAGTGACGTCCTCTTCTATCTGTGGGTTGCCTCTGTTAAAATGTGTCTGTGTTGATTTTACTGGAATGGCGGTGAGAACAAATTGCCCTCAGGGACTAAAAAAAAGTCTAAAAAATGTTTTATCGTTGACATTTAGCTCTATAGCTCTGGCTAATGCCACACCACTGGAAAATCACTTCTTCGCAGCTCTAAAAACAGTTCTTGCTAGTGGCTGTACAGCGCTACTGCTGTTTGGGAGCAGCGAGAAAGAAGATGCAATTTTATCTGGGTGAAACTCATATTCTTTAAAATCTCAATACAGAGATTTGAAATTTTAATATATCATCATTATTCTGTAGGACTGATGCATCTGTGCCTATGTTGTGATGTCAGTGCTGAAACATTATCGTGTTCAGCTCTACGTTCAGTGTTATTTACACGTGTGTGTGGCTACAACTGATGCAGCGACTTTTTAAAAAAATGAATCCAAACCCAAAGGAGAAAGAGAGACAAGTTTCTCTGTCATGTGTCGGCGGACAATGACTTTGCCTTCGGTGTATTTTTACTCACTCTGATGGATAACACTTAGAAGATAGTACGTACGGGCCAGAGAGCAGCAATAATTAATGAGGGTTTTTATAGAAAGCACAAGAAGCCGACAGGATACGTCTCGGTCATGACTGTTACGTGTGTGCTCTTAGAGTTTTTATCCTCTCCGCTCACATTTTTCTGGAGTTATTCTTTTTATTTGTTAGGTGACTTGTCTGACTCTCTAAATGTACCCCCCTCTCTCTCTCTCTCTCTCTCTCTCTCTCTCTCTCTCTCCAGGTTCAGGAAAATGTCTTTGTGGAGTTTAACCACCAGGAGCTGCTTGAATTCTATAACAAGGTTAGTTTCTGTAGCGTGTGTGCACGTGTGTATGTGGTGTCGCCTTTAAGTCGAATGTATATCTTCGCGTTTCTTCCATATTTCAATTCAACCTAATTAGCAGACATTCCCTGAAAAAATCCACGTGCCTGCGTAGCTCCCTCATTCTTGGATAATTACATTTTCAATGTCTGACTTTTCTTTCTTTTCATTTGTGTGTGTTTGAGTGAGTACTCTTGTTTTCCAAAGACTTAACATTTTTTCTCTTCCCTCAGCTTGAAATCGTACAAGGACAGTTGGATTCCTTGACTTGATGCCAGATTCCACACACATAACACACACACACACACACACACA